GTGTGCTCCACGGTGTCCTGCTGCCCTTCTTGGGCTCGGTCAGTCCCGTAAGCCAGGGCGATTATGCCCGACGGGCTATTCGACTGCAGGAGGCTAGATGGACAGTAGCCTCTAGACCACCCCCCCCCCCCCCCGGTCATAACGGGTTCACGCTTTATTTTTAAAGTGGTCCTCTCGCAGTTTCGTGATGCCCTTCTGGGGGTTAATCTCCCGTAAGACCAGGGAAGAGGAAGCCCATTGAGCCTGTTTCACCGTTTGATGCCATCGTGGCCGATCTGATTATTTGTTCTGAGGAAGGGTCACCGGACCCGAAACGTTAACCCTGCTTTCTCTCCACAGATGCTGCCAGACCTGCTGAGCTTTTCCAGCGATTTTCAGTGTTTGTTTCCTAACATTTGTCTGAGCGATGCTATCGGTGTGGGCTCACTTCCCATGCTAACTGAGGTTACTGTGAAGGTCCCTTCCTTCCCAATTTTTTTTTTTCCGCACCTCCCCACTACCCTCACCTGACACGTGTTGAAGCTTGGGTTAAACTATCACCAGTTGCCCCATGATAAGAAATAGGAGCAGGAGTACGCCATCGAACCTGCTCCGCCGTTCAATAAGATCATGACTGTGCTATACGTTTGCACTCTGTTTGACCCTCCTCCCTCCCAACATCTGTCTAAATTTAGTACGTAATTCTTTGAAGCTTGTGTCACAGGTAGACACAGTGGTTAAGAGGGTGTTTAGCACGCTTGCCTTCATTGCTCAGACCTTTGAGTATAGCAGTTGGGGCGTCATGTTGAGGTTGTACAGGATGTTAGTGACGCCTCTTCTGGAGTACCTTACCTAGTTCTGATCGCCCTGTAGTAGGAAGGATGTTATTAAACTGAAGAGGGTTCCAAACAGATTTACCAGGATGTTGCTGAGAATGGAGTGTTTGAGTTATAAAAGAAAGGCTGGATAGTCTGGGACTTCTTTCACTGGAGGTTGAGAGATGACCTTTATAGAGGTTTATAAAATCATGAGGGGCATAGATAAGGTGTACAAGCAAAGGTTTTTTTTTCCCTAGGCTGGGAGAGTTCAAAACTAGGGGGCATATTTTTAAGGTGAGAGGCAAAAGATTTAAAAGGGACCCGAGCGGCAAATTTTTTTCACATAGAGGGTGGTTCATGAGTGGAATGAACTTCCAGAGGAAGTGGTGAATGTGGGTACAGTTACAATGTTTAAAAGACATTTGGATAAATACATGAAGAAAGATTTGGAGGGATATGAGCCAAGCGCAGTTAAGTCGGACTAGTTTAATTTCGGATTATGATTGGCGTGGGCTAGTTAGATCGAAGGGTCTGTTTCTATGCTGTATGACTCTGATGTTGTGCTCTCTCCAAGACCAATATAGCCTTCTGAAGGTGTGTTGCCCAAATCAGCCCCCAACTGGGGTCTAATGTGGGTTTTGTCTATCTGTGACATAACTTCTGCGTCTTTATGCTTCAGTCCTCTGGATCAATAAGCCAGCATTCCGTTAGCCATCTTGATTATGTTCTGCATCTGTTTGTGGCATTTCAAAGATCTGTGCACCTGCGCACCCAAGTCTCTTTGGGCACCCACCGTATGTAACTTCATTCCGTCTGTAAAATACCCTGTTTTTCTGAATTTCTGTTCCTGAATTCTAACACCGATTTGGCTACGTTAGGCAGTATGGGCTGGTTACTTTCAGTTTTGACTCCCGGTTGTTTTGACTTCCTGCGCTTTGAACACAAAGTATTTGTGACCCACTGCTGTCACACAGAAAAATTTCCCAATTTAAAAAAAAATTCAGTCAATTTGGTGTTAGTCTGTTTTACATTTCTCGGCCTGTGCTGGCACATGATGCTTTTATAAATTTAAAACAAAAACTTTTGCATCTACTCCCTATTTACTCATTTATCTGTCTTGCCTCTGAAATGTTGCTATTGTATCTGTCTCTTTTGGCAGCAAGTTCCTGTCATTTATCACCCTCTATATGAAACAGCTTTTCTTTCACATCTCCTTCAAACTTCCCCCTTTAATCTTAAATTTGTGTCTCGTAGTATTGATGTTTCTACTCTTGGGGGGTATAAAAGATTCTATCTGTCCATTTTCTTCATGCCTGGACAACTGGATTACTAGTCCATCAGCATTACCATCATCTTTGTCTCCATGAAATTGGGAAACAGCCTGTGGTACTAGATGCTGCAGAGGCTATGAGCCCTGACTGTATTCTAGCAACAATATTGAATAGGCTGAGGTTATTTTCTCTGGCGCCTCGGAGGCTGAGGGATGAACTTAGAGGCTTATAAAATCATGAGGGGCATGGATAGCATGAATAGTTTGGGTCTTTTTCCCCGTAGTAGGGGAGCCCAAAACTACAGGGGCACAGGTTTAAGGTGAGAGGGGAAAGATTTAAAAGGGACCTGAGGGGCAATTTTTTTCACGCGGTGCGTGTATGGAATGAGCTGCCAGAGGAAGTGGTGGAGGCTAGTACAATTATAACATTTAAAAGGCATCTGGATGGTACATGAATGGGAAGGGTTTAGAGGGATATGGGCCAAATGCTGGCAAATGGGACCTGATTAATTTAAGATATCTGGTCGGCATGGACAGAGTTGGACCAAAGGGTACGTTGCTATGACTGTACTGGAGACTGGTGCCCGTAGACAAGTTGTTCCAGTGCTGCTACGATCCTGGCATCTAACACTTGAAGCAGTACTCAATACAAACTGGTCTGAAAGTTATGATATAGCCCCCTGGTGTTCAGATTTTGTTCTACCTCAAATGCCCAGCTGCTTCCCCTCAACCTCTCGGGTACTCGGCAGCATCTGATCTGACCCAGTCTCGTAAGGCCCACCCCTAGCAAACTAGACAGAGTAATAGTTGTACAGCACGGAAACAGACCCTTCAGTCCATGCCAACCACAATCCCAAACTGAAGTAGTCCCACCTGCCTGTGCTTGGCCCTTATCCTGTCTAAACATTTCTTATTCTTGTACTTATCCAAACGCCTTTAAACATTGCAACTGTATCCACATGCATCACTTGGTCTGGAAGTTCATTCCAGACACAAACCACCCTCTGTGTAAACAAAAAAAAGTCATGTCTTTTATTTTGTAAGCCAATGTCCCCTATCTTGATATTCCCCGCCCTAGGGAAAAGACACCTACCATTCACCTTAGCTATGCCCTCATGATTTTCTAAATCTCTATAAAGGTCACCCCTCAACTCCTATGCTCCAGTGAGAAAAGTCCCAGCCTATCTAGCCTCACCTTTATAACTCAAACCCTTCATTTCTGGCAACATACTGGTAAATTCTTCTGAACCTTTTCCAGCTTCCTATAACAGGGCGACCAGAACTGGACACAGTGCTCCAGAAGAGGTCTCCCCAACGTCCTGTACGACCTCAGCATAATGTCCCAACTCCTGTACTCAAAGGTCTGAGCAATGAAGGCAAGCGTGCCAAATTCCTTCTTAACCACCCTGTCTATACGTGATGCAAACTTCAAAGAAATATGAAATAATTATATGTTATAAAATACTGGGGATTTTTTTTTTGCACTTGTACTTTTGCACCCACTGAGTCGCTGTTAGAGAATAGCCCTTTGAGTTAGAATGTAATGGGGTTTGATTTTTGATTGAGAGCCTGGGCTGATACTCCTGGTGCAGGGACATCAGCCGGTCAAGGGTGATGTCTTTGTGGCCAGGATGTTAAACCGAGGCCATGATTGGGTGGAGGTTAAAGGTCACAGAGCCAGTATTGGAAGAATAGTAGGGGGCATTTCTCCCAGTGTCTCAGGGCCCACATTTACCCCTCGATCAGTATCACTGCGGCAGCAGGTGATTCGGGTCTTTGTGGGATCTTGCTTTGCGCAAATTGGCTGCTGCCTTTCCTACGTTGCACTTCAGGAGCAGCTGCTCAGCGCTTTCACAGGCCCTGAGGTCGAGAAAGAGGCTGTAGGAGTGCGAGCCTTTCGGTGGGCTACAGCCAGATGTCCCGAAGGACAATGACGGCATGCAATTTGTCTAGGTGGGTTGTCGCAATCTGCCCTGATCCGCTTTCTAACCCATTTTGAAGGCGCAGGCGCTTCCCAGTGCGGATTGCTGATCAGGAGCAGGGATTGCGTCCAAATACACTTTGAATCCCGCTCCTCTCTCGGGTTTACAAGCTTACGCCGCAGCAAGCGTGCATGGCTTTCTCTGGTCATCTGCTGGACTGACGGTCACCACTTTCTTCTCCCGCAGCTCGTTCTTTTGGCTGGTGTCACTGCTGCTCTCCTCGCTGCTGTGGTTCGTGGCGGTGCAGCTCAGTAACAAGGCGAACGCCGGGGTTCAACACGGGCTGCTGATGATGGGAGCCGGGGCCTCTGTCTTACTCCAAGAGGCCTTCCGCTTCGCGTACTACAAGCTGCTCAAGTAAGCTCGCTGACCGAAGAGGCTGACCCACTCACCGGAGATCAGTCTGGGCTAAGTTCACTGTGCAAAAGGTCCCATGGCTCAAGGGTGGGGAGGTGGCATTCACTCCAGCGTCCTAATTGATGTTGCAGCCAACATTGTCAAACTGAAACCTTCGCTCTGCTGTTCTGCTCCCCACCACTCCCCACCTTCGCCTTTCCTACAGGCGGCCTGCATTGCCAGGAATCCTTGACCAACTCCACCTCTCACATCCTGTAGCAGATCAGCCTTCTTGCTCCCCCCACCACCATGACCCTCTACTTGTCATCAGCCATCACACATCGAAATGCTCTCAACGAGGCTTAACGTCGCATTAGGGATAGCATGGATAGAGGAGAGACCAACCAACAGAATACAGAGAGTCGGGATACAGGGTGGCGTTTTCAGGGCGTCAACCTGTAACTGGGTAGATTGCTGCAGGAGTCAGTGTTGTAAGCACTATCGTTTGAGTATAAGTTACTGACTTAGGGGCCGGGGACATGAATGCACTGCAGCCAAGTATGCAGCTGAGAAAGAAAAGGCAAATCAGGGCAGGACTTACAGACCTTAATAGTAAGGGCCTGTGGAGTGTTGCTGAACAAAGGCACCTTGGAGTGCAGGTTCGTAGTTCCTCGAAAGTGGAGTCACAGGATAGTGAAGGTGGTGTTTGGTACGTTTGCCTTTATTGGACAGTGCGTTGAGTATAGGAGTTGGGAGGGTCATGTTGCAGCTGTACAGGACATTGGTTAGAGCCACTCTTGGAATACTGCGTTCAATTCTGGTCTCCCTGCTCTAGGAAGGATGTTATGAAACTTGAAAAGGTGCAATAAGGATTTACAAGGATGTTGCCAGGGTTGGAAGGTTTGAGCAATAGGGAGAGGCTGGATAGGCTGGGGCTATTTTCCCTGGAGCATCGCAGGCTGAGGGGTGACCTTTATAGGGGTTTATAAAATCATGAGGGGCATGGATTAGGTGAATAGTCAAGGTCTTTTTCCCCCAGGGTAGGGGAGACCAAAACTAGAGGGGCATAGAACATAGAACATTACAGCGCAGTACAGGCCCTTCGGCCCTCGATGTTGCGCCGACCTGTGAAACCAATCTGAAGCCCATCTAACCTAAACTATTCCATTATCATCCATATGTTTATCCAATGACCATTTAAATGCCCTTAAAGTGGGCGAGTCTACTATTTTTGCAGGCAGGGCATTCCACGCCCTTACTACTCTCTGAGTAAAGAACCTACCTCTGACATCTGTCCTATATCTATCACCCCTCAATTTAAAGCTATGTCCCCTCGTGCTAGCCATCACCATCCGAGGAAAAAGGCTCCCACTGTCCACCCTATCTAATCCTCTGATCATCTTGTATGTCTCTATCAAGTCACCTCTTAACCTTCTTCTCTCTAACGAAAACAGCCTCAAGACCCTCGGCCTTTCCTCATAAGACCTTCCGTCCATACCAGGCAACATCCTGGTAAATCTCCTCTGCACCCTTTCCAATGCTTCCACATCCTTCCTATAATGCGGTGACCAGAACTGTACGCAATACTCCAAGTGCGGCCGCACCAGAGTTTTGTACAGCTGCAACATGACCTCATGGCTCCAAAACTCAATCCCTCTACCAGTAAAACCTAACATACCGTACGCCGCCTTAACAACGCTATCAACCTGGGTGGCAACTTTCAGTGATCTATGCACATGGACACCGAGATCTTTCTGCTCATCCACACTACCAAGAATCTTACCATTAGCCCAGTACTCTGTATTCCTGTTACTCCTTCCAAAGTGAATCACCTCACACTTATCCGCATTAAACTGCATTTGCCACCTCTCAGCCCAGCTCTGCAGCTTATCTATGTCCCTCTGTAACCTGCAACATCCTTCTGCACTATCCACAACTCCACCAACTTTGGTGTCATCCGCAAATTTACTAACCCATCCTTCTACGCCCTCATCCAGGTCATTTATAAAAATGACAAACAGCAGTGGCCCCAAAACAGATCCTTGAGGTACACCACTAGTAACTGAACTCCAGGATGAACATTTCCCATCAACCACCACCCTCTGTCTTCTTACAGCTAGCCAATTTCTGATCCAAACCGCTAAATCACCCTCAATCCCATGCCTCTGTATTTTCTGCAATAGCCTACCATGGGGAACCTTATCAAACGCTTTACTGAAATCCATATACACCACATCAACCGCTTTACCCTCATCCACCTGTTTGGTCACCTTCTCGAAGAACTCAATAAGGTTTGTGAGGCACGACCTACCCTTCACAAAACCGTGTTGACTATCCCTAATCAAATTATTCCTTTCTACATGATTATAAATCCTATCTCTTATAATCCTTTCCAACACTTTACCCACAACCGAAGTAAGGCTCACTGGTCTATAATTACCAGGGTTGTCTCTACTCCCCTTCTTGAACAAGGGGACAACATTTGCTAGTCTCCAGTCTTCTGGCACTATTCCTGAAGACAATGACGACATAAAGATCAAAGCCAAAGGCTCTGCAATCTCCTCTCTAGCTTCCCAGAGAATCCTAGGATAAATCCCATCCGGCCCAGGGGACTTATCTATTTTCACACCTTCCAGAATTGCTAACACCTCCTCCTTATGAACCTCAATCCCGTCTAGTCTAATAGACTGTATCTCAGTATTCTCCTCGACTACATTGTCTTTTTCCTGTGTGAATACTGACGAAAAATATTCATTTAGCACCTCTCCTATCTCTTCGGACTCCACGCACAACTTCCCACTACTGTCCTTGACCGGCCCCAATCTTACTCCAGTCATTCTTTTATTCCTGACATACCTATAGAAAGCTTTAGGGTTTTCCTTGATCCTACCTGCTAAAGACTTCTCATGTCCCCTCCTGGCTCTTCTTAGCTCTCTCTTTAGGTCCTTCCTGGCTAACTTGTAACTCTCAAGCGCCCTAACTGAGCCTTCACGCCTCATCTCTACATAAGCCTCCTTCTTTCTCTTGACAAGAGATTCAACTTCTTTGGTAAACCACGGTTCCCTCATTCGACCACTTCCTCCCTGCCTGACAGGTACATACTTCTCAAGGACACGCAGTAGCTGTTCCTTGAGCAAGCTCCACATTTCAATTATGCCCAGCCCCTGCAGTTTCCTTCTCCATCCTATGCATCCTAAATCTTGCCTCATCGCCTCATAATTGCCTTTCCCCCAGCTATAACTGTTGCCCTGCAGTATATACCGATCCCTTTCCATCGCTAAAGTAAACGTAACCGAATTGTGGTCACTATCACCAAAGTGCTCACCTACCTCCAAATCTATAGGTTCAAGGTGAGGGGAAAGATTTAAAAGGGGCAACTTTTTCACGCAGAGGGTGGTGCGTGTATGGAACAAGCTGCCAGAGGAAGTGGTGGAGGCTGGTACAATTACACCATTTAAAAGGCATCTGGATGGGGACATGAATAGGAAGGGTTTAGAGGGATATGGACCAAATGCTGGCAAATGGGACCAGATTAATTTAGGATGTCTGGTCAGCAAGGACGTGTTGGACCAAAAGGTCTGTTTCTGTGCTGTACAGCTTTTTGATTCTGTTTCAGAACACGTGGTTTAATTTTTTTTTTTTTGGTGGGGAAACTGGTACAGCTCGGAGGAAGACGGAGGGTTTAGCTGTCCTTCCCTTCCCGGCCCAGGGTCCGATTGGCTATGTGGGGGATTGTGTGTCAGTTGTGGTAACCAGCAACCTTGTATATCTCTGTCCTTCCCGCAGGAAAGCTGACCAGGGTCTCGCTGCGATGAGCGAAGACGGGAGGTCGCCCATCTCGATCGGACAGATGGCATATGGTAAAAAGAACGAGCTCTAGCACCCATGGCGTAAATGTTCCTTCAGACAAACGCTTCCCCCTTTGTTGCAGCGCCGTTCCCTCTCATGCGAATTTGACCTCGGTTGCTCAAAACGCTGGGAGAATCGGTCGTCCCCAACCCCCCTGCTTCCCAAAATGCTGTGGAAAATTCACTCTGCACGCATGTACAAGTTAGGAGTAGGCCGTCCGGCTCTCTGTCCACGCTTGGCCACATATCCGTGGCTGACCTGTTTGCAACTCACTGCCAGAAGTGGAATGAAAGGTGAGGAACAGCTGGTCTCTCTCCCCAGTTCGTTGCTGATGTAGAGTCCCACTGAACCTGAAACGTTTACTCTGTCTGTCTCTCCCCACCCCAGAGCTGACGAGTTTCTCCAGTGTCCTGTGTTTGTTTCTAGTATCTGCAGCATTTTTGCCTGTGATCTGATACAAGCCAGCAAGTCTGGCCAGTCCTTGCCTGTAGCCGCCCCGAGGGTCAGGGACAAAAACAAAGTTGCTGGAAAAGCTCAGCAGGTCTGGCAGCATCTGTGAAGGAGAACACAGAGTTAACGTTTCGGGTCCGGTGACCCTTCCTCGGAACAAGGGTCAGGGGTTTGCTGAGTGTCCTTTCGATTCTTCCTCCCCTCATGCTGCCCGTCTCTCCCTCACAGTTTCGGGTCTCGCCTTCGGCATTGCCAGTGGTGCCTTCTCCGTCATCAATGTACTGTCGGACTCGCTGGGGCCAGGCATGGTGGGCATTCACGGAGACTCGCCCTACTTCTTCCTTACCTCAGGTCAGTTGGAGAAATGAGGGATTGGCAATGTTACAACATGTGCGTGGCGCATACGTCCTCTAACCCTTAATTACACATTAAAAATCCACATCAGTCTTGAATATACTGAATGACCCAGCCTTGATAGCCCTCTGCGGTAAAGAGCTTCCCAGATTCGTCCCCCTCTGAGAGAAGAAATTCCTCCCCATCTCTGTCTTCAGTGGGCGAGCCCTTATTTCGAGATGATGCCCTCTATATTATTAAACTAGAAAGAGCGCAGAAAAGATTTACTAAGATGCTACCTGTACTGGAAGGTTTGAGTCACAAGGAGAGGCTGGGATTTTTTTCCCCCAGGAGCGTCCGATTCTGAGGGGTGACATTATAAAGGCCTTTAAAGTCACGAGAGATAAGCCAACAGCTTTTCCCCATGGCTGGGGAATCTAAAACGAGAGACCATAGGTTTAACTATGACAAAAGGCTCCAGAGGGTCAACTTCTTTCACAGAAAGTGGTGAGTGCCTGGAACAGGCTGCTAGAGGTAGTGGTGGATTTGAGTACAATTTCGTCATTTTACGAAACATTTGGACACGAATGGGATAGGTACGGAGGGATATGGACCAAACAGAGGCAAATGGGGCTAGTTTAATTGTGAATACTGGGCAGCATGGACAAGTTAGGCCAAAGGGCCATGCTGTAGACCTCCTGTGGTCCTCGATTCTCCCACATAAGGGGAAACGACCTCTCCCATGTCTCCCCTGTCAATTTCCCGCCAAGGATCTTGTATGTTTCAATAAGGTTACCCCTCAATGTTCTAACCTTCAATAAGTACAGACCCAATCTACTCAACCTCTCTCTCATTTGACAGTCCCTCCATCCCCAGGATCAGCCAAGTGAACCTTCTCTGGGGCTGTCTCCGATGCCAGTCTACCTTCCCTTAGATACGGGGCCCAGGCTGTTGACAGTATTCCAGTTGTGGTCTGACTAATGCCTTGTATAGTTTTAGCAAGGCTTCTGTGTTTTTATACCCCATTCCCTTGGAAATAAATAAAGGCCAGCATGCCACCTGCCTTCCCAGTTTCGTGGGGCCAGCTAGCAACAGGAGGAGTTGACCCTCCCCATTCCAAGAGTGAATCACAACCGAGGTTCTAAGT